CTCTTTTGCAAGACTAACCCCAGGGGCTTGGGTTAGACTTGGCAGTATTACAGCCTATATTCAGTCATCCTACTGGCAAGTGATGCTGCTCTTTTATTAGAGACCTGGCATGAAGTGGAGGGGAATAGCTATAGAGAGCTGTTCATGAACTCTCTTCCACCATTTGTCTTCAAGTGGGTATTTGTTATACTTAAGTGTGAGCAATACATGTCAGGTAAAACTTAGCCGTAGTTATGGCCAGTATCTTTCTGGTGTATTAGTCACAGGCTATGCTAGTTCCTAACAGGTTAATTTGATTTTTTAAGAGAGAAAAGAAACTAATGGTAGTGCTTACATCAGAACAAGAAGTTGGAATTTTCCATCTCAATCATAATAATCTTATGTCACATTACAGAAGGTTTATTCAACTTGAACTCTTAGACACTGTCAGATGCTAGAGTAATGGGTGTTCTAGTAATAAAACAAAACATTTAACATGATAGTTTGTTTTGACTCCTCAGCATGAATGACCCTGTTTAAAAGGCAAAACTCTGAATAGCACATTCATGTTTATGATTTATTAATGCATGCCTAGTGCTTCTCAAGCCTACTTGGGGTACTACTGTTGCAGCAGGAACTAGGCACAAAATGTGATAGTTATGCACACGGGGATTTGTTAGATGCAGATGTAAATCAGTCATATGCAGACTCATACAAATGCACTCTTATAGCCTTAATGGATGTAGAATGCTGCTAGTCAAGATAGTCTGTTATTAGTAAATATATACAGCCTTGCAACTTTGATTCTTGCTAGTCATTGAGTGTATTGCTATTTAGCCCTTAGCCTATTTCCTCAGCCTGCGGAAGTGAAGTCTTGAATTCACTCATGTCGATAGCTTGTTTATTAGCTCTCTGAAAACAGTACTTCTGTCAAGAACTTGATGGCTAGAGACATTTCTAAGGTTACATTGTTCAGGTCCTGATAAAACCTTCTAACCAGAAGAACCTGACTAACTCTTCAAGAAAAGTTCAGGGGAGAGAACAACCTGCCTTGGCAGCATGAGCCGCACTTGAGCTATTGCTGTGCTTCAGGTTACTGCTCCATCTTAACAGCAAGCTGTATTGCACTTGGCAGTACAAGCTTCATTTGTCCTCTCTTGGCCTCTCAGATTCTAATTTGAGGTTAATATTTACATGCAATATCTCTTTAAGATGAATTATGTACTTGAAGTGTCAAGGGACAAAGAAGGAACACAGGCTGTGAAAAGGACAAAGTATTGGACTGCTGAGAAGATGTTTAGTTTATCTGTCTCTGACTTTTTCACTGTTCCTTACCTCTCCTCAGGCAAGTTTTCATGAACATTGAGACAATTATCTTTCTCTGCTGAGGAAAAGGCCTGTCTGTTGGGTAACGTTTTTTGTCCAGTCTTTAAATCCCATGGCAGACTACAGCCATAATGCAGATTCCCAATTCCCTGTGCACAGGATGAAAATATAATCATTAAGGATAGCTCCGATGCTGCCACCTCTTGCTGAAATAAGAGATAATTGTGAAAGCGTCTCTCAAGGGAAACTAGATGTTGCTCAACAAAATTATTTGACATATGCTTTAAGTTTTGCTAAGGAACAGGTATTTCAAGGATGACTTGTCACAACCAACAGCTCTCCTTTCAGGTAGTTCAGAGAAGACACCAAGAGCATGGTATGTCTAAAGCCTTAAGACCGACTTTCGACAGGGTAGATATGTCTAATTAAAGTACAGTACTTGAGTGGAGAGTTGCCTCACTTGAGACAGGAGGTAACAGCTCATACCTGAAGACATGTCTGTTGAGAGCCTGAAATTGCCTTTCCATAAGCAATGATCAGTACCTGCCTTTCATAGAATAGCCCCTGTAGGAAAGGAGGAAGATAATATTAGTGGTCTCTTAATAAGCCCCTTCTGAATAAATTGAAAAAGTGGGTGGGCAAAATGTGATGTGTATCTACTGATATAGACAAGCATTTGGGGCACTTTTCCCAATGTAGCAACATCCACAAATCTGCAGTCTAAGACTTCTAAACAGTGCGTTTAGCATAGTAGTTAAAATGGGCCATACAATTGCGTGGTGAATAATTAAGCTGTAGTGGTAGCAATGGACCTACCTGCATGGGGAAAATACAAAAAGCATGAGTTAACAGCCTGTTGACACAGTTGCTGTCAAATGACGAATGACAAACGTGATCTTGTTCGTCAGTATGCCAGTATAACTGAAGGCATGACTGTTCCTGCATAAAACACATGCATCTCTAACTCTGCCATAATGCTGGCTGGCTCCTTCCAGATGAACTCAGAATTCAAGTGTAATGAAACAGTTCTTGTTGCCTTGCTGCTGCAGTTGGAGAAAGGAAATACGAAGGTACTGAGTACTGTGAAAGGAAGCCTCCAAGCAAAAGCAAGAGCAACAAACAGAAGTTTTTAATTTCATTTTGGTTACTTGCATGTAGAGAACTTCCCATTAAGTTAAACCTAAGCATGACAAAGACCTTGCACAGCATTGGTTCTAAAGTATAGAATCTAAATTTAGTTGTGGCTGAAACTCTTATGCTGCAAGTAGACTAGATTACTACTAGTGAGTGCTACATAATGTTTCTCCCCACTCCAGTGAAATTTTCAGGTAAAGCCTGAAGTAAAGTCTTGTGACTTAACTAAGATGCTGGGAAGTAGTTACTTAAAACATGAATGTGTAGTAAGGCAGCCTTTGTCTATCCTTGCATTCTTAATTTTGCTAATTCTCTTGGTCCAGAGATGTGATTCTCAAAGACACTGAGTTTTCCAAAGGTATGATAAAAAACAGTCAGATACTGTGGTCACCAGGTGAAATGAGCTGTGCCACACCTCAGATAGGAGAGTATTTACTGTAAACTGGCCAGAAAGCTCTTGCTAGCCTACTCAAATTGCATTGGTGACACTGTTTAAAATCTTCTTCACAGTGAGGGGGTATTTGCAAGGGTTCAGCCAGACTTGTGTGTATCCCTGCCCGTACTGGGCTTTTGTGGTTGCTGGCCCTATACAGATATGTAGTCTGGCTTCCATAGGATGGAGGCAAATGGCAATAATGGAGGGATGACTAGAGCTTAAAGATGACAACTGCCCATCTGGATTTCTGTTACTTTATAGTTGCACAAGTGAGGTCTTGATTGTGCATATTTGCTTCTCCCTAGGCTATTTGCTTTTATTGCCACTTTAGTGGCAATTAACTGAAGTATTAACTTCAGGGTGAGGTGCTTACTGTGGTTGTATAACGCCAGAGTTGGGTGTAGCTCTACAAATTAAACTGAGTAAGTAGGATCACTGACAGGCAGGACTCAGTGCTTCAAGGCTGTTATTTCTTCTTTCCAGAATGGATCTGGGCAGAATGTCCTAAAGCTGTGACTCAGCTCCCAGGGAGAATGTCTTAACACTTAGTCTTTTCCTTCTGTTCTCTAAATGGTAACCTTCCAGATAGAGGTGGTTGTTTATTTAATGGTTCAACTTTAATTCTTTCTTTCCTTCCTCTCTGTTTCTGAAGACCTGATAAATCTAGAGAGGGGAATTATGCTGAAGTCTAAAGACTATCTCCAACTAAAGCTATACTATCAGGCAAGCTAGTCTAGTTTTAGAGTAGAATTCAGTTGGCTTCATTTTACCTGACTGATGTGTGATTTTTCAGTTGGCATGCTCTTTTTTTAGCAGTAGTGCAAGTATCCTGCAAAATCCCTGTTGTCTGCAGTAGTTTTCCCACTTGCTTCTTTGACAGAGTGGATATTCTTCCAGTGATAACATTTCCTAAATTACCATGGCTTCCTATATCAACTTTGACAGCTATTTCTACTCAAAAGCACTTGAAACTTTCACAGCAACACCTATCTTCGCTTGCATCAAACGTTCCCTAACCATAACGGGCATAGCTGACAGAGATCTTTCCCATATGAGCACTTTTATTTACTTTAGCAATGCTAAGTAGATCTAACATTGCTTCTATTAACAGCCAGTTCTCTAAAGGCCTCCATCCTGGTGAAATGGAAATGGAGTCCTCTTGAAGACCTAGGAATTTGTGTACTTCCTAGGTTAAAAATCTGTTAAGCACTGACATCCATCACTCTGTTAGTAATAACTGGATGAGTCAGTCTGTAGCTATTAGTAATGAATTGAGGGAAGAAGGGAAGGCAGGAGTGAAAGGAGTGAAGTTACCCTAAAGTAACTTCAAGATAAGGGTTAAAGCATTAGGTGTAACTAAGGCAAGTGAGGATAAGGTTGTTGAGAGTTACAAGCTTCTAATGCTAGGGAATAAGCAATGTTTCAGCACTCTTATCTGGATACGTAGTATGTCTCAAATGATGTGCTGCAGGTTAAAAGGGGTGGCTTGCTCTGTGTCTGCTTGGCTGGATATAGGGAAAACTAGTGGTAGGTGGCACTTAATCTCTTTGAAAGATGCAGCTGGTAGTGCTGAAAGAAAGTAGAGAAAAATATCTGAGACTGTATAAAAAGCTTTAAAGGGTAAAAAGCTAAAGGTTGACAGATTAAAACAGAGTGATCCAAGTACAGCCTGTGGATGTAGGTCAGTGTGATCTACTAGTTAGGCATTACTGGAGTGAATGTTCATCACACAGTGGCCATAAGTTCATGTTCTCTGTAGCCTCAGATGAATAGATGGTGAGTCAGACTTCCTATATGGTCAGTACTAAAACTTTCAGGCACTAATGGTCTTCAGTGGTCAAAACAAAACTCTACTAGCAGGTCTAATAATGTTTTTTCTTCAAGGTAGCTCAGTCAGTTAGAGCGTGGTGCTGATAACATTAAGGTCGCGGGTTCGATCCCCGTTCGGTCCCCAGATATTGCCTGATCTGGTTGAGAGGTGTCCCTGCCCAACCAGAGAGGTTGGATTAAATCATCTCTAAGGTCCCTTCCAGCCTAGGCCATTCCATGATTCTATGATTTTTCATAATTTATAATTATTAATAGTAAAATACTGTTGTTTTTTTAAAAAAAAAAAAAACAAACTACAGGAAACATAGCTGACCACCAGCTCATCATGTCTACTGAAAATGAAACTACTACTATCAGCAGCCCGCCCGAGCAACAGGCTCCATCAAAAGCACAACATGCAAAGAAGGAAAAAAAGAAAGGTAAGAAATGCTTACTTCTTGAACACCTCTTCCAGTAATTGTCCTTAAACTTTTTCATTTGCATAAAACTAAGATCACAGTTATAACATAGTTAAAGTAACTTCAAGGTTTCAGGCTGACCAGAAGAGTGAGTAAATAAGCTAGTTAAACAAATCTAACCAGAAGGTAGACTTCTAGCAGGAAAGGTGGTGGGTTTTTTTCTAGCTTTAAGTTTTAAAGCTCTCAGTTCCACTTGTTAGTCATCTGCTAAGACTAACAAATTATCAAAATCCCAGGGAAGTGAAAGCCTCCTGAGGAGGTGACTAGACCCAGGACCATCCAGGTAGCTGTCAGCCTGAACTTGAACTCATTTCCTTCACTCCCTCCAGAGTGACAGTGATTTGCTGAGCACAGATACAGATTCTAGTCCAGAGAAGTGAGAAAACAAATCTTGTGAGAATTACTCTAAATCAGATAATAGATTTTTAAAAGATTAGGCTATGTAAATATAACAACCTCATGACATAAGTACATACCTAGGTACACAATTGGAGTATGTTGAGCATGCAAAGAAGAAAAGCACACAGTTGCAGGGAAGTAGTGGGAACAGCAGAAATGGCGAATTGATTACAGGGGTGGAGGCGCTAGGACTTACAGAAATGACGGTGCTGATAGAAAGTTCTAGTACAGGAACTAGGAGATTCTTGCACACCAAGAAGAGATCTGACTACACCAAAATGAGGAGCTAACATCTGAACAGTTTATTGAACATCCTACCATTTTTGTTTGGTATTTTTGCTTAATACTTTGCTGCTGCCTATAAATATTTCAGGCTTTTATGTGGCAAAAAATCATTCTGAAGTCCCCAAATATGAAGTACTGGGCACCATTCTTTGAACTGAGGCCAGACTCTGCAAGAGCACTGTGACCTTACAGGGTCAACCATCTTGCTCTGAACACAGTATTGGAAGGGCTATGGGTTATTAATCAGCTATACTTAAGTACATATTAAAACTGTCCCTTATATGATATATGTATATATTTTTTATAATCTCAAAGCCACAACATACACATTTCTCTATTTTTTTCATGATTTTTGGTTGGTTATTTTTTTTAACATTTCTATGTCTCCAGGACCAGAAAAGACAGATGAATCTCTCTTGGCCAGATTCAAAGGAGATGGTGTAAGATACAAAGCCAAACTGATCGGCATTGATGATGTCCCAGAGGCAAGAGGAGACAAAATGAGTCAGGATTCAATGATGAAGCTGAAGGTAAGGGCTTGAGCTAGCATGTGAGAAGCAACTTCAGGGTAGCCTTCATAAAGCAGACGAAATGGTCACTTTGGTCCAACTTCAAATGCAGCTTAATGGTAGCATAGTAATAACAGCACCATCCTAGATGGGTGCTACTTCTAAAACTGTGACCTCTTGCTCAAAGGACAATGTTTTGCTAATAGCTTGAGAATGCTCCTCTGAGTTTCTTGTACGCATTCAGTATGGATGCTAATAGTATGAGCTTGATCACAAGATTTTCGATTTTGAATGGGGAAGGGGAAATCATGCAATTTAACACTGACCTCGAAGCACAAGTTGACATCCTGTGGCAATAGTGACATCAAGAAATGCAGATAAATCAAAGAATGAATGAGACCCTGCAGCAACAAAGATGATCACTTCTGGAGTATTGAACGTTTGCATAGATTCAATTGAGCCAGGAAGGCTGTTAAGGATGCTCCTACTGCAGCAGTTTTGTGAGCGAAGATAAGTCTTAAAACTCCTAAAAGACTTATGAAGGAAACACAATCCAGTTATGAGGTATCTCTTCAAACCTAGTCAGGCATATGTTGCAAGAGGAATGCTACTGTAACTGTACAGTTGCATAGAAATAACTAGATTAGCACTAGGACAGTCACAGCAATGGACTCATGAGGAATGAAAGGAAACAAGTTGAAGCTCAGTCTAACAAAAGTCTCATCAATACTTTGCTATTCATTCTCTTTAGGGAATGGCAGCGGCAGCCCGTTCCCAGGGTCAACATAAGCAGAAGATCTGGGTAAACATCTCACTCTCTGGTATCAAGATAATAGATGAGAAAACTGGGGTAAGACACAACTTACTCTCTCAATGTGATCCTTAAAGTAAGTGAGGTACTTGAAGTTAGACCAATCTGAACTAGATTTCTTACCAGCATCATGCCTTCCTTTCACACAAAAGAACTGACTTGTGAAATGGATTGTAATGTTGAAGCCTCTTGCCAGAAAAATAGCTACATACTATTGTAGTTAGTCAAAGGCTGATAAATGGGTCTTGAACTGAAGCCTGATAAAGGTCTCGGCAATTCTAACTACAGAAAAGAGCAGTAGTTATGTTTCCTACAATTTAAGCCAATAGTCTTTCTCGTATCTGTTTTCTTTTGGTTTTTTTCCACCCCTCACCCCTCCTCCCCAATTCTAGGTCATAGAGCATGAGCAGCCGGTAAACAAAATCTCCTTTATTGCTCGGGATGTAACAGACAATCGTGCTTTTGGCTATATATGTGGAGGAGAAGGCCAGCATCAATTTTTTGCCATAAAAACAGCACAACAGGTATGGATCAGACACCCTTTTCCACTTGCTATGAGTAATGATACTGTGTCAACACTTAATGTGAAAAGCGTGTAGTTTTTTGCTAGCAGACCTATAAAGTATAGGGGAATACCTGCACAGATGGATAGATGAGAGGAGGGCAGTAGGAATTGACTGTATCACCAATGGCTTTTATCTTGTTCAACTTCTCTGTAATCCAGAATAAAAACACTTAAGTGGCCTTAATAAACCTTGTTTAACATGTCCGTGCACCATGGAAATGCAATGAACAGAGCCGTTACTATGGGCTTTCCTGTACAGTAAGAATGTTCTTGAGTCAAGAATTCAAGCTTCACTCACAATTAACAGGAATGGTGTTAGAACTCCGGTAGTCTAGATCTCACGGTTCTTTGTCATGTGCAACAGTGAAAAACCTACTCAATTGTAATAGTGTTTTAGGGGCCAGTGAACAGCAGGTCTGGTCCTTCTTCAGTTACTTCTGGAGGGGATTCTGATCCTCCTGTGCTGGATTTATCCCATGCAGAAATCCTGGGTGCGGGTTTGACCCTCTGAAAAGAATCTATACATAAGCAGTATTGGAAACAAGCTATTGCTTAGTTTCATGCAGCCTCTGAAATGACCTGAACAAGCATTAAATATTTATCATTTATTAGCTTGTCATTATAATGTCTTAATAATCATCACTACATTGCCTTGACAAGGCAAGACTTCTATGCAGGTAACTTCTTCATATAAACCCCTGCCTGCCCTCCTGGAGAACCTGTTGACAGTTTCAGACCCCCTACAGGTGGGACTGAGGGGCTCATTTTTGGAGCATGTTGCTACTTTAAACAGCTTTAACACCTTCTCCTAAGCATGTTTTGTTAATTTATCAGTCCTGTGTTGTAGTGACTTCACTGGAATTGTAGATTAAGTGCAAAACTTTTCTGTGTGTGCTCTAGAGTGGAGTCTGTTTTCTCAGGGCTTTTTACCACAGGATGCTGCCTGCCAGCCTATAAGCTTAGCCAACCTGTAGACAGCTCTTGACTTGCTGCTAGTTTTTTTTAAGACATACTTGTCTAGCTGAGAAGTAAAGACTTCAGCTCTACTCTGCTGCAGCTGTACTGTTTGTCAGTTGATAATTCCTTGCACAATTTAGAGAAGTTTGGCTTGCTGTACAGCCTCTTCAGTATAAGTTCAGGGATAAGTAGTACATGACCTAAAATCTACATTTTTTTTTTCAGGCTGAGCCTCTAGTTGTTGATCTTAAGGACCTCTTCCAATTAATTTATAATATGAAGAAGAAGGAAGAAGATTACAAGAAGGTGAGTGAAACTAAGAGAGATGAATTAGTCTGCATAGAAATAAAGCTTCCCTCAGTTTTTTTGTGGCTTTTGAGCTCTTTTAAGACTTCCCATAGAGGTCTATCTAAATCCAGGATCAATTGAAGTTGTTGGTTGGTGGTTGCACCAGTAGTTTGATTACCTCCTTGATCTGGTAAGCTCTCCAAATTGAGAAGCTTTGGATACTCTGCATGATGTTTAGGTACTAAAACCTTTTTGTTTGTTTTTTTCTTCTTTAGAATGAAGAAGCAAGTAAGACTGAGGTAAGCCATTTCAGCATATCCTTACCTGATTATGCCGATATGCTGCTTGCTTGCTTGGTGTGGTGCCGCAACACAACTAGCTTTGATATTTTGCCAGCATTATGGAGGCAATGTCAGATGTTAAATTACATTGTAATGAGAGTAAAAAGGGCATACAGAACTAGTACTAATACTCTTCCTCATACTTTCTCTTTCATTACTTGCTATTTGAATCCGCTTTCTTAAGGCAAGTTTTGATATTCTAGTTATTGCTGACACTATTATTCATCAATTACAGAATGGCAGTGAAGCACCACCTGCTGATCAAGCTGACAAAATGAAACTGGTAGGTTAAATTTTAGAACCGTATGCTGATCTTGAAAGAGTACATAAGTGACTGTTGCCATGTTGTGTGAGAAATACAGTATAGGTGTGCTTACAGTAGAACTGTATAATGCTTAATTCTTGCTTTGGCAAGAATTCTTACAGGTACTAATTCTTTCAATATTTCTGGTTTCAAGGGAGTTGACCAGATGGACTTGTTTGGGGATATGTCTACACCTCCTGATATGAGCAGTCCCACAGTAAGTAGAATCTTGCTTAGCTGTCTTGGCTTTTGCTTTGCGAGCAAATTTATTCCTAGTGATAGAACCTAGTTTTACTATGTTAGTCCTGATTTCTCGTTTCACTGAGACATATGTTTAGCTATCAACAGTGTACTAGTGTCTTGGGGCTATACGTAGTATCAACCTAGTGATTAGTGTAGCTAATGTCGTTCTCATCCAGCAGGTTCATTTGAGACTGTGTGGCAGATAATCCTGTATTGTTGTATAGAATCATAGAATAGTTTTAGCTTGCAAACCCTTGTTCTACTCCCTTTGGCCTTGTTCAGGGACATCTTCCACTAGACCATGTTGCTCAGAGCCCCATCCAACCTGGCCTTGAACACTTCCAGGGAGCGGGCATCCACAACGTCTCTGGGTAACCTGTTCCAGTGCCTCACCACCCTCACAGTAAAGAATTTCTTCCTAATATCTAATCTAAAGCTACTCTTTTTCAGTTGGATACTGTTACCCCTCATTCTATCACTATGATCCCTGATAAAGTGTCCCCCGTCAGCTCTCCTGTAGGCCCCTTCAGGCACTGGAAGGCCGTTATAAGGTCTCCCTGGAGCCTTCTCTTCTCCAGGCTGAACAGCCTCAACTCTCTTCAACCTCTCCTCATAGGGGAGGTACTCTAGGCCCCTGACCATCTTAATGGCCATCCTCTGGACTGGCTCAAGGAGATCCATGTCCTTTTTATGCAGGGTGCCCCAGAGCTGAATGCTGTACTGCAAGTGGGATCTCACCAGAGTAGAGTAGAGGGGCAGAATGACTTATCTAAACCTGCTGGCCACCCTTGATGCAGCCCAGGGTGCAATTGGCTTTCTGCTCTGTGAATGCACATTGCAACCCTTTCAGGTTTTCATTCACCAACACCCTCAAGTCCTTCTCTGCACGTCTGCTTGCAATCCACTTGTCACCCAGCTTGTATCTGTGCAAGGGATTGCCTTGACTCAGGTGCAGGACCTAGCAGTTGGCCTTGTTGAACTTCATGAGGCTGGCAAGGCCCCACCTCGAGCCTGTCCAGGTCCCTCCAACATCTTGACTGCACCACACAGCTTGGTGACATCAGCAAACTTGCTGAGGACACACTTGATCCCACTGTCCATGCCACCAACAAAGATGTTGAACAGCACCAGTCCCAGTACTGATCCCTGAGGACTGCCACTTGTCACAGGTCTCCATTTAGACATTGAGCCATTGTTCACAACTCTTTGAGAGCAGCCATCTAGACTATATCTTACCCACTGAGTGGTCCACCTGCCAAATCCATGTCTCTCCAGTTTAGAGACAAGGACTTTGAGTGGAGCAGTGTCAAATGCTTTGCAGAAGTCCAGGCAGATGACATTAGTTGCTTTTCCTTATCCACCAGTGCTGTAACCCCATCACAGTAGGCTGCCAAAAGCCTTGTAGCAGTCTGCCCTGAAGCCTTCTTTCACGCTACACAACCCCATCTCTCCCAGCCTGTCCTCATATGGGAGGTGCTCCAGCCCCCTGTTCATCTTCATTGCACTCTTCTGGACCACCTCGAACAGGTTCATGTCCTTCTTATGCTGAGGGCCCCAAAGCTGGACACAGTACTCCAGGTAGGGTATGAGCAGAGTAGAGGGGGAGAATGACATCTCTCGACCTGCTGGCCATGCTGCTTTTGATGCAGCTCAGGATATGATTGGCTTTCTGTGCTGTGAATGCACACTGACGGCTCATTTTTTGATCCACCAACATCTGAAGTCCTCCTCCGCAGGGATGCTCTCAATCCACTCATCACCCAGCCTATACTTTTGCTCGTCCTGACTCACGTGCAGAACTTTGTACTTGTCCATGTTGAATTTCATGAGGTTTCCACCCACCTCTCTAGCTGGATGTCTTAGAAATACGTACTTGAATGTCATGTCTCTGCTGCTGCGAGAGCTATTAAGAAAGTATTCTGAAGACCCTTAAAGCTTGAGCTCATGTTACAGACAAGTGAATCCTTTAGTCAGTCCCTCGGAGTATGAACCTCAAACTTCTACAGGTTTGTTCTAGCACTGCATGCCAGCATCAGCCATGATAGAATTGGTGCTGTCAATCCAACTGGTGGTGGAGAGATGGCATGTTAGCATCTTCCACTGGCAGATAGCTCTCCAATCTTTCTGAGCCAACTTATTCTCCACTGAATATCTAACACTCCAGACAGAGCCCAGCCCCAAAATTGCAAATGTCCAGCAATTGCTTTTGCAGAGAAGGTGCCAGGAAGGAATGCTAGTGCATTCTATGAAACCAAGACTGCAACGTGAAGTTATATTAAGGCAGTGTGATTTTACACCTTGTCACAATAAACTCTAGAACTAGAAACTCAGACAGGGGTTCTGTACTCAGGTGGAAACCTAGGTCTGACTAATGCTTAATAATTCTATAGTCTCTAGACTGTAGAACAAACATCTGACATTTAACTAAGGCATCTTAAAGGTGCTTTTAACATTGACTTTCTGAAACTAAGTACTTGTGATTTGACCACAGCCAACAGATGTTGCCCTAGTGATTTATAATATTAAGCTTTAGTGCAACTTTACTATGACTTTGAATACCTATTAGTATAATATATTGGATACGAGGATCTCTCCTTTTGCAGCTGTTTTCCTTGAGCTTGTGTACTATGCAGCAAGTCCTACATAAAACTAACTTTATTTTTCTTTCTGAACAAATAGGAAGCTAAAGAGATTCTATTAGTGGATCTAAATTCTGAAATTGAGACCAAACAGACTTTTACAAAAGAGGATATCTTCTTGAATGACATCACAACTTCTCTTCCACAAAAAAAGGCACAGCCACCCTTCGTGCCTGAGAGTTCTTTCTCTACCAATCTCAGCTTCTTTCCCACACCTAATCCAGACCCTTTCAGAGATGATCCTTTCACACAGCCAGACAAATCTGCACCACCTTCATTTGATTCTTTAAAATCTGCTGATCAGAAGAAAGGAACTCTGAGTACCTTGGCACCAGTGGATAATGGTGTTTCAAATGGTGGTATTGACTACTTTGGTAAACAGTTTGACCAGTTTTCTAATAGAACTGGCAAACAAGAAGCATTAACAAGCCAGTGGCTAACTGAGAGTAAGTCGCCTGAAGCAAGAACTCCAAATGGGGTACCAGAGAGAGAACAGAATGGCTTTCTTAAAGCTCCGTCAAACCTGTTCATGGAAGGTCCTTCCAAAGGAGTATCTCTGCAAAGTGAAGTTAAGCTGTATTCTGAAAGCAATATCCAGCTCATGCCACATGAGTCTGTAACAATTAGCCCACCACCACAAAGTACCAAGCCAGGAAGAGGAAGGAGGTTTGTCAAGGTGAACAATGTTCAAGTAATTAATGATGATATGCATGCTCTTACTGAAAGAAACTGGGGGAAGGAAGCTTTTCTTTCTTCACACTGTATAACCAGCTAAATAGCTTCACAACAAACCTACTTCTCTTCTACCCATCATGCTTACTCTAACCCGTCTGTAGCCATGGTACAATCTAACATTTACGAATGCTTTATAGTAGCTATGGTAATTAAATTATATGCTCTCTTCCTTAATGCTGCCATAATTCTGTAAAGATCTGGTGAGTATGCCGCTATATATATTGATGCTTGATATAATGCCAGAACATGTTACCACAGGATCATAGAATGTGTTGTGGAAGGGACCTTTAAAGGTCGTCTAGTCCAACTGCCCTGCAGTGAGCAGGGACATCTTTAATTAGATCGGATTGCTTGGAGCCCCATCAAGCCTGACTTTAAATGCCTCCAGGGATGGGGCCTCCACCACCTCTCTGGGCAACCTGTGCCAGTGTTTCGTCACCCTCATGGTAAAGAAATTTTTTCTAACATCTAATCTAAATCTACTCTTCTCCAGTTTAAAACTATTGCCTCTCATCCTGTCACTGTACATATCCTTGTAAACAGTCCCTCCCCAACACTCCTGTAGCCCCTTTCAGGTACTGGAAGGCCACTGTAAGGTCTCCCTGGAGCCTTCTCTTCTCCAGGCTGAACAACTCCAACTCTCTAAGCCTGTCCTTGTAGGAGAGGCGCTTCAGCCCTGTGATCACTTTTTGTTGGAGCAGGTCCAGAGGGAGGACCACAAGTCCAAGCCCTTCTTGTGTTGAGGGCTCCAGAGCTGGATGCAGTAGTCCAGGTGAGGTCTCACCAGAGCAGAGCAGAGGCGGAGAATGACTTCCCCTCAACCTGCTGGCCACGCTTCTTTTGATGCAGCCCAGGATATGATTTGCCTTCTGGGCTGCAACCACCGACACGTCGGTGTCTCATGTCCAGCTCTTCATCCACAAAAAATGATAGCTGTATGCCCATCAGCTTGTGCTTTCATAACAATGGCGTATTAGTACTAGCTTACACAAATTTATTTAGTTTCTCAGTACCTGCCCACTGAGGGCTATCTCAGCATCTTGCCTGATTAGACACAAGGTGGCTCTGGGTCAGCTGCCTTTTGTTTTGCACTCAAATGATGCAAACCCCTGTTGTTGACCTTGCCACAACTGCAAGCATCACTGCAGACTAAGCAGAATGTTTAGAAGGGTGGAGGACAGAGGGAAGCTCGTTTTGGTAGCACATAATTCAGTCACTTTACGTCTTATTATTCTGCTATTGACTTGTGACTGCTATATGTTATACCCCTCTGATGTCATGCATCATAGTAGGCATGAACAAAATGCTCTCTAAAGGATACATCAAAACTCCCTGTTCTGCTCTAGACTAAATAAAAGTTTGTAGCTGTGGACTAGAAATTCTTGATCATTTTAGCTTGTGTTCTGCCATGCTATCTCACAAAGCGTTTTTTCTTCCTAGGTTGCATCGAATGACATATTTAGCTCAGATTTCTTTGCACCAGCTACAGAAAGCCTTGGCTTGACCAGAGTAGCACAAACGGAGCCTATGACAACAACCCCACAGGACCTCTTCAGAATGAGTTCAGCATCTCCAATGGTCACTCTAGGTTAGTTCACACAGTGAAGGTCTTGCTTCAGTCTAAGATAATATATTAACATGAAAATGGGTTCTAGTTTTCCTATACTTTGTGAGTAGCACTGTGTCCTTTAATGTATGTGCTCTCTGACCTCAGTGGTTAAATTCTGTGAATAGCAGCCTAATCTCTGCGTCCTTAACTGGAACAACTTTTTTTCTAAAAACTTTAGTAGTATATTGTTGCTTCAGGTACATAAGTTTCAAGTGAACCAAGCACAACTTGGAAGGCTACGGTAACACTGCTTAATAATCATTTACACAGAAGTAACTCTATGGTAAATGCAGCTATCAATTTTGTGCTAGGACTAAGTATGTTCCTCCTTCTGTTACATCAACTTCCATTCTGTTCTTCTGGAACTGAAATGGAGAAAAATCAAAGGTGCTAGCCCTCTTTCACCCTCCCCCCAGACAACTTGATTTTTGAGTGCAAATGAGCAGATTTTTACAAATGCTATGTGAAAAATGTTTACTGGTATCATCAGTAGAATTTATACAATCCTGCTTGAGGTTTTCAGATCACAAGTGCTATGTAATCTCCCCCCAGGTGGCATACCAGTAACTCCAACACCATGGAGTACACCTACATTTGCTCAGACTGCATCAGTTTTTCCTGGGTCTGTAATGCCTGCTCAGCCTACAGGATTTACTCAGCCACTGGCCTTTGGCACTCAAGCAGTGCCAAGCTGGAATCAGCCTTCATCTTTTAAACCGGCAGTCTCCCAGTCCTCTAGTATCTGGGCACAGCCAGCACAAGTTCCGTCTAGCTCATGGCCACAGCTGTCCAGCGCTGCCAATCCCTTCCAGGGTAGTGTGTTCCCATCTCCAACACTGCCAGCTCAGACACCATCTGTACTGCCCTCCATGTCAACAACAACTATTCCACCTCAGCCACCACCTAGAACTGCACCTCAGAAGGAGCTATCCAAGAAAGAGAGTGATGCCTTTACTGCTCTGGATCCACTTGGTGATAAAGAGTTGAAGGATATCAAGGAAATGTTCAGAGACTTCCAGCTGACGAAGCCACCAGCATTACCAGCAAGGAGAGGAGAGCAGCAAAGCCCTTCAGGTGCCTCTTGAAGCTTTCAGCAACTGTTTTAGTAGTAAAGTAGACATTTCTCAAGATAGTAGGATAGATCATGATGGCATGGAAGCTAGCAAAGTGTCTGCAAAAATGACTATTAAAATTTTATTTATTTTTTTTTCCTGTTTGGATAGCTGCTCGGGGATTGAGATAGACAATCACTATTTTTTCCCATAGAACTAAAAATTTGATTGAATAGTTACTGAAACACAGTTGAAGGACTGTTGCCCATAATAATGTTACAGAATTGATCAGTGTCAGTGGCCAAGCACTGACACCCAGTACCTAAACTGCTTGACTAAAATGAGGTAAACCAGGTGTGTACAGTGTTAGAAGTCCTGTCTACCTTAAGTGTAGCAAGGGCAAGCAGGAAATAAAATTGTGAGGTCACTCAAAGCACCTTCTAGGGGTATGGGGGATGTGGGTGTTGTGTATCTAATTAGGTAAGCTTTGAAACTGCTATACAGGCAGAGCTGAGTACTTGTTAAAGTTGTGCGATTACAGCACTATGTCTTTTTTTCTTTAGGACCACCAAAGCCTGTTCCCCAAAAAAGTGTGCTGCCAGCGGAAGGCCTATTTGAAAGTCAAGCTAAACTAGACCTTTTCAGTGCTTCATCTGTAAGTAGCAAAAAACCAAAACAAACCAATTCCAACCTTTCTTTCTCCTTAACAGGGCTGCCTGTGTTTGAGCACTGGCTTTGTTTTGGCTTTAGAGGCAGTGGAACAAAGCTTCTTGCATGTTTGAGGCAAATATTTAATCTAACAGAAGATATTTGCTGCAAGAAGGCTAGCAAAGTATGATTCCATTTGGCTTGGGTCCATAACCCCAGCTGCAAGTTCTTCAGTAAGCACACATGGCTTTTCTGGAAGATACCTTGCCTTTGACTAGCATAACTACTAACATGGCTTTAGAGTCCTCTTCTCTCATAAAAGCAATACAGTTAATGAGTAATTAGCAGGGACTCTGCAGTATTCTTTACAGAAGGTTTTTTGGAACAGGAACTAGCTGATTCAGTCATGCAGAGTAAACCTGGTGAAACTGGAAATACACTAACAGCCTATGATCTCTTTCCTTAGGAGGAATCTCAGAAACCATCTGCTGGTCCTTTTGGTGATACTTTCGGCAACCCATTTGCATAGATCAGGTGAGTTTTCCACTAGCAAGACAGCCTGCTTCATTCTCTGAAATTGATCCAGAAAATCTTTGGTAAAGAGCTAGCTGAAAACTACACTAGCTAAACTCTAATGCTTCTCCAAAGTATGGTGGACAGTTCCTAAACGAACACTTCTGCTACAGCACCTCAGATCAGACTTGTGTATAGCTGTATTCTGGCTAAGCCTAGCCAGCTTCACTTTCTTAGAAATAAAGGTTATTTTGTGGACTTGAGTCTCAAGGCCACAATAGATCTAGATTTCCTTTCCTTGAGGAAAGTTAATGAGTAAACATGTGCTGCAAAACTCAGAGGGGCTCACTAAATTCCTTTAGATACCTCTTTGGGAGAGTATTAACACACAATGCCCCATACAACTTTCTGAAGTTTAATCCCCTAAATAATTGTGAGTTTGTATTCTGAGTTAATTGGAATAAAAACAGAATAAGGGCTGTTATGATACCTTAGTTTCTACTAACAAAAGGTAACCCAGATGTTTGTACCATTGACTAGAGAACTGTCAAACTAGCAAATCTATACCTCTGCCACATCTCTAAATCTTCCCCTGAAATGCCGTCTGTCTTCTAACAGAAGACAAGCATTGCTATTTTTTGCTTTAGTTTTGTTCTCAGTGACCCTAAGCTAGTTTAAGCAATAAAACCATAACTTACAACCATCGTAACCCTAATTACTTTTCATCATACTAGGCATAACCGGAAAAGGATAAATGGAGTAACTGGACCTCTTATCAACGTGACTTTTCTACATGTTTCACTTTGTCTGCCACTCTTGCTGCTGTCCTGTGATGTTTGTAATCTAAAACACATCCAGGTGGATTGAAACATGAACCCTCCAAGAAAATGCTGTGAAGATGATATGTCAGGGCAAAGCAAATGGAGAGTTGGACTTATATTTGAGATACAAATTAAAATTGGGGATAATAACTTTACTTGAGTTCTTTGCAGTCTTCCACAAAGGAGCTCAACAACACTTAAGTCGTGTGTCTTATGAACATGATCACCACACTTTCTCTTTCTGTAGTATTTACTGTCCTAACATACAGGAACCGAGTGTACCTAGGGACGAAGTGCTGATTCGCATAAGGGAATTGGATTAGTAGGTAGTACTCCACACCTTACACTAGGTCAATTGGCTATTCTCACAGCAGCACCTAGCTGTAAAGTTCAGTGGATGCTACTCACTTCTAATTGGTGACTTCACACATGACTTGGTTTCTGAGCCACAAAGCTGTAAACTGTATGAGTGGGAGATGAGAGGGGGATATCTAATACTTATCTATGTAACGAATGGTAAAATTATCATTCTTGCATAAATGTGTAATAAAGGGACTAACTGTGGAATCTGTAACAGAACTGCTGGAGTCCTGAGTGCTAGAGGCCTACACTGTAGCATCAGATAAGCTGAAACTCTTCTTGCAGAACACTGAGGTAGTCATGGACACTAGCTGTTGTTTTGGTGCTAATATGGCTTTTTTTCAGGGAGGGAAATCTACTAGGATTACTTTTCTGTTAAGGTGGCTTGGCAGACAAATGGAACAAGCAGATAGGCTTCTTGAGTATATCTCAGTGAATATCGTTGGTCTTGCTCAGTTTGAGTTGACACATGCTGTAGTGTGTCGTATTTCCAGTGTGTTAGAAAGCAAGAAGACAATCATGGCTTCACTCCATGCCTAGATTCCTTGTGAACAGATGCACCACCTTCATGCTATTAATGTGAGATAGTCCTCCATCTCTTGAAACATCTCTTGAAAGAACATCTTAACTAACTGATTTAAAGATCTATTAGTAATAACTGACTGTAACAGCTACATTCTTAGCCAGTGGTGGTGGCTGACGTGTCAGAGGTTTTTCTGTTAATACTAGGTATAAACTTCAAATAGTACTGTTAAATCAAAGCAGTTGCTGAACTGGAGAGCCAAGAAAGTCAACTTGAATACAGTTTTAGTACCCAATTCAGCCAGTCATGCAATTTGTCTTGTATATAAACTTCTTGCACTTTCTGTAATCCAAAAAAAAACAAACCCTATGAATTTAAGTATTTGTCTCAAACTGGAAATGTAGAAACTTACGGATGTTACACTGTTATATAAAAATGTAGTAGCTCAAGTCATGTTACCTAATGACATTAAACAAAAGCAATCTGCATAAGAATGATCAGTGTGGCTTGTTGATTTTGTCCTCCGTAACTCAGTCTTGTGGTCTAGTTGACACTAAGAGCTCAAAGCCTGCCAAGATTTGTTCCTCATATGTTCTCACTGTAGCTGTTTGGTAGCAAGGTCTTAAACTTTCCTGTAGCTTCTTGCATCAGGCCTGTTCAACAAATCCTGTCCCACCGTAAAAAATAAAATCTCCAGCTGACTTAGTAAGCTGCCACTAGAAACTTGCCCAATTAGCTGCTTAGCCTGAGTTTGCTACTACTAAAGAAGATTTATTGCTGTCTTCTGCAGGACCATGGAAGCTGGGTACTTAAATTGCATTGCATTGTGAAATTTCATTAATTCAACTTTCCTAATCCAGTTTTGAAGACATCTCAACTAGTGCTGGGAAAACTAAATTTATCTCATGTTCAGAACAAATTTTACGACTCCTTTAACACAGATGGCCAAAACCAATAAATCCATTAGAAATTACTCTTTTAGACTAGCCTTTGGTATTTGAGACAAACCTGTAGCTGTTAGCCTGATTTATCACTGAATGAATAGAATGGGTACTTGCTTCCTTACTTTTAATACCATTTCATATGTATGTTTAAGTGATTGAAAACAATTAATTGAATTGAGTTGGTATCGAGCTTGAAATATAGGTATTATGATGCTTCACAGAGAATCATTGATTTTTATATTTTACTTTTTGGCTGCATTACAACATGTAATTCATCATTACAACATGTAATTCAGTACTCAAAGATAACACTAGAATTAAAGAAGCTATTGACTGTCTTGGTGCCTGAGTGAAGGAATAGCTGGTCAAGCTAAAATTAACAGTGCTAGTATGCTGTAGCCTTAAAGTAGCTCTCAGGATAATCACTAAGTGCTGGTCAGCAGTCAGCTGACTGAAGACATTTGCTGGTCCAATAGTCTACTTTAGCTGTTTATTCTGATTTAGTCTGTCTTAAAGAACCATGATCTGTGGTCACATCAGTTGAAGCAGGTATGATGAAACTATAATATTATAAGTGTCTGTCTTGCATTCTCATTCAACAAACTAATTTAGCGTAACTGGACTCATCAGGCTAGATTAAGGCTGCATCAGATATAAGTTCCTCTGAATGACACTACCTCAATTTAAGGATTGCATAGGGAAAGAAAATTGCCTGTCCTGTTCTGCATCCTCCCCTCTCCTTGCCACAAAAGGGGGGGGGAACATAAAAAAATGAAAAGAAAATTTTTATTTACTTAACATATGGTAATTTGGTATATTCTTATACTGGATGAATATTTTAAGCTTACATCCAGATATTTAGTTTTTAGCTGTTAAACCTCAGGTTGTTTATGTTTTGTCTTGTGACTGTCTAACACATGTCTTAAATCTGGATTACAGAAAACTCTTGAATAGGAAAGCCATTCTAAGGAGCTAACTTGTGGTTCAGGTCTTGGTGACAGAGGGAAGGACAGAAGAGCTTTAGGCTCCATCAGAATTGCCAAAAAAAAAAATAATTGTGTTTTTATTTTTTATTGGCTTTGAGGGGATGAAAAAGGAATCTTGGGATTTTATTTCTCCAGTACTCTAGGATTCCAAAGATGTCAGATGCTGAATTTCCTCTTGTAAACAGCTCTGCTTTAGAGCTATTGTCTTTCTTACATGAGTCACTGCTATGACAGCTTTCTGCTAGGCACATAAATGCTCTCAAATTAGGCAGACAATGTCTTTCTCATATTTAAAAGGTACTAGTAAACAAAAAATTCCCAGAATAGGCACACAGGAAGAAGTGGAATTTTCTGAGAAGTGGACTTTAGAGCACTTACCGTAAGGCAGTTTTGGCGAGTAACTGGCCATTTCAGTTTTGTTTGTTCTCTTGGTAATAAATAACAAAGGGAACAAATAAATTGCTAATTCAGTCATGGCAGTTCTCATCTGTTCAGCTACAAAATGAAAATTATGAATGTCTTCCTGCAGCTTATGTCTACACTATGCAATTTAGAGATGGCTGCTGCATTTTTAGCGGAAAGCGGAAGGTAAGTGTCCTTGGTCTTCTGCAGATGTCTACATTGTTTTGTTTCTCCAGCACAGAGCATAAACATCCAGTGCAGACATTTCTGATAGTAGCTTGCTCAGATAGCTAATGAAAAGGGAAGTTAATTCTTATTGTATTTCACAGAGTCAAATAGAAATGGCTTATCCATTTATTTTGGAGGTGTGGGGCACAATAAAGGTGACTGATAGTATTTGAAGCCATGTTCTTGCAGGGAGAGGGAGATCAGGCAACTATTTTCTATCCTATGCTGAATGTGAAAATATAACCTAATATCAATCTGTTTCTTTCTGAAGATGCACAATTTTATGCTGACAGATAGTCTAAGAAACTCTAAACATAAATAGAAATACTATTTCAACTTCTTTGTAAATAGAACCTTTGTTTTTTCACTCAGTGTGAGTATCAGTGCAAGGGGAACTAAAGGCTTAACCCATGCAGAAATATCTTGTGAAAACAGCTGAAGAGCTACACTACTAGCAATAGTGCTGCCTAGTCTATATGCCTTTTATGGGGATGATCAGTACTAAGCAGTGAAAGAATGTCTCATAACAGATGTGTACATTAAGAAGAAATAGGGATCCATCTGGTTTGTAACATTTAAATTGCAGTGCGTGAAGCATTTTGCGATAACATGTAAATACTATTTGAACAACCAAGTATTGCCTCTTGCACCTGTGTCTAGGCCTGAGAGTGGCTGCTGCTATTATTTTTTGAAATACCTGAATGGACTTTGAAGAGCAGCTTTCAAAACCATAAAGATATCTGCTTCCATTT